CTACGTATGAGTGCATGCACACCCTTATGTACATTTAAAACAAGGAACAGATTCCTAAAAATATGGTCCTTTGAATTTGTGATTAGGAAGAAAGAGGCCTAAGTTTTGTCACAAAAAACTGTTGTTTTTGTGTTCACAGACATGCATTTATACAGAACCCCACATAACAACATTTCCAGGACAAGAAAGCCAAATACCTGAGCAGAAGAAAGTACTTCAGGCGAAAACCTGATATACTTTTGACTTCCGTAAACAGCAGAGCTCACGTCGAAACCGCTACCGACTTTACCCTGTGCTATACAGTGAGCAGTTTGAGCTATGATATGCACGACATCCAGTTCCTTCGAGACTTGATCCCCTGGAAGAGAACTATTTTCTAAGGAAAGTTTGACCACTCCAAGGTAATGAAGTAAAGCAGCAACAACTGCAGTTGTCATAGCAGCAGACGAGCCCAATCCAGTTTTGGCAACTTCAGGTTTGCTCTTTTGTTCACTAGATTCCTCTGCATTAAAGGTGATCGAAATGAAAGGTGGGAGAGAAGCCAGTGAATCGGGAGATAGAGGCAGGCCACGGGCTTCAATCTGCGTGAGAGTACCAATATGAGTCTGAAAGAAGCATTTTCACAAAAATAGTTTCATATCCATGTGCATGAGTAACTTTGAAAATCCTTCCACTATGCTGAAAATGTTAGGTTTAATAATTTCTGATCATAAACATCATTGAGACGTGGCCCAATTGCCAAATTAAACAAATTGTCTGGTAAAAATTCAGTAGAATAATGGCGAAGTTGAATACCTGATTTCTATATGAATAGAACTCATTGCAGCCTAAAATCGTAATGTCAAGACCTGCATGACTAGACCAAAACAGACATTAGAATTTCTATGTTCAGTTAGCTTTTGAAGAAAGATCGGGGAATTTCATATCCAACTTTACCCAGCAACAAAAGTTTATGTAGCTCCTCCTTCTTAGTATTGTCAAAGGTGGCATGTGCTGCTGCTATAGCATATTGCAATGCATATTCTACGAATGGGTTTCTTGAATCACTGAGTAGGCATAGCGAAAAAATTCTCTCATGTAAGCATTAATTGGCCATATGGTTCTTGCTCAGACAATAGTACGTGAAAAAAAGTAGTTCATTCTTCAATAAGTTAAGTTCAATTCATAAGCATACGCAAACAGGCCACAGTTACTAGGGTCCATTACATAGAAATTTTAAATGGTGTGCTTTTCACCTTGAAGATACACACTGTAGCTGCAGATGCTTGAGAGACAGTTTATACATAGTTTCTCTACCCATCTGAGGAGATGTCAGTTTCACATCTGTCCATGCCTGAAATACAACGAATTTTTGGTAAGAAAATAAACCACATAGTACAAACCATTTGGAGAGAACAGAGAAATAAAACATACAATTAAAATCTTGGAAACTCATTTCAAATAAAATAAACAGGCGGTATGGCAAGAGTGTCAATTAAGTGAATCAAAATTATCCATTTACGGATCAAACTTGGAGATAGAATTGCACCACAAATTATCATGATCTACCACAGAGTGTCACATACCCATGCCCAACTATCAGGTTTAAGGTCCTCATAAAGCGGCTTGACAATAGCATAAAATCGGGCATTTGTACTTAGTACAATCCCTGCATTAGGCCTCTCCAGAATAAGATATCCACCAGTCATCACAACTTTTCCCGGCGCAGAAGCAACCCTACTCATTAATAAATTAGAACACAATCACTAACACCATCATCACCACGAAACAAAAACATACTGTAATTAAAACAAGAACAAGCCTACTCACACTGCCATTTGTCAGCAACTGTATATAGAATTAGATCTGGACAAAAGAAACAACAAAATCAAGAATTAGATGAATAACAACGAAATCAAAACAATGAAAACGGCTAGAGATGGCAATGGGGCAGGTCAGGTCGGGTACTTCACTACCCGGGCCTGCCCCGCGACCCCAACCCCGAGGACGCCCTGGTCCGTTCCCCACCTCGGGTCCAACAGGGTTGCCTGTGACTTGGCCAGGCCCGGATGGGTTTGTTTAAAAAAAAAATAATAATAATAACATTACAGTGGAAGAATAGCAAGGTTTGAAGTTTCATAGAAAAAGAGTCACAAATTATTTTATGATTTATACTAAATGAAGTATAAAATACCCAAATTTTTTGTATGTTGTTCAGCATAGCTGGGATTTTATCTGAAAAATATACAGACCAATGTACAGTAAAGCCCAAAAATACTTCTCATTGCAAACATATTTTTGAATGGCGACTGGCGAGGCGACTGGCCCATGGCCTCGCCATTCACCATGGCGAGGCCTCGTCTACACATATCAAATTGATGAACTAAATATAGAGTATTAGACACCTATGTAATGAATTAAACAATTGAAACACATAAACAGATAAGTTAAACAGAAAAACTAAACCGAAAACCTATGTATTATACAATAGAGAAACTAAACATACAAAAATAATAAACACTAAATTATAAATAAAACAGAATTTTTTTTTTTTATTTACAAAAAAAAGAACAACCCCAACACTAACAGAGGTCAGCAGCGCGCGACATACCCGGGGAGGAGCTCGTAGATGCGTGGCCGGCGCGGCAGCAGCTCCTCGGAGATTAAGAGAGCTGTCATTTATTTTAAACTATGACTGCAAATGTACAAAATGCAGAATAAACCAAAACTAAAAAGAAAAAAATTGATCTTTTTAAAAGGGATTCAAAATAAAAGCAAAACTATAAAAATTAAAAATAGAGTGACCAACTGATCTATACGACTATATCTAACTCAATGACTCCACAAAAAAGATTTGGCCAGTTATGCAATATTTTCATTGCTCACCATCTGAAATCTCAATTACTTAAACAGATCGGTCGGCCGACGCGAGCCCCGAACCATATAGTAAGATCCCCAAATATTTTGGAAAATTAAAATGTTCGTTGATATCCCAAATAATTTCATTAAAATCTTAAAGTATAAATTATCTCAACTCTTGAAATGATGAGGGCCGCATCTCGACTAAGAACACAATGCTAAATTAAAGGTCTGTGTGTGTACGCATGTGCTGTGGATCTCTTAATGATATGCAAATTCAAAACCGAATATTTTCGAATTTGCAGCGTCGGATTGAACTGCACTTACATGTTAACATAAAAAAAAATTTAAGGAAAAAAAATTACCTGGTTGGAAACTTCGTATGTGAAATCTTCGCAAGAGCAAATGTTGGTGGACAGTGGAGATGATATGATATGTGGGGAAGTCAAATTTCATTTGGTGTGCAAAATTTGAACATTTTTAGGTCCCTGAATACTTCCAGGGCCTGTTCGATTAAACAACCCTATGATGGATTGTTAAACAACCCAATGATTTTTAGACCTGGGCCGGGTCGTGTCAATTCGGTTTAGAGTTGGCTTATGAATGAAAATAAAATGACCAAAAATAATATACTTGCCATACAACAAGACACGGCCTTTCATTAGGTCTTACGGAGACTTACCTCGCAAGGGTAACCGTATTACATCGACGGGGACAATCGTACCGACGGCCGAATCGGCTCACGCCGATAGGCTACATGGTTTACATGCATACTTAAATCATACCAACCCAACATTAAAGTAAACACATACGACATAGCAAATTTTATAAGTAAACCCACCTGGTTACCGAAGCGATAGATACAAAAACACGAGTAGGCAGCGAGCTCAGCTCGTCAAACACCTACATATACTAAAATAGTCCTATAAATGACTATTAAACACATAACCAACCAATCATAATAATCACTTAATCCAACTAAGCTCACATAAGCATTTAATCAAAGAAATCCCATTTCCGAAAACACCACTTACGTTTTTCAAAACATGACCCGTGCAGCGATTTTGAAATCAACATAACTTTCTGTACAAAACTCGGATGAAAATGATTCAAGTTGCACTAGAATCATAAGACATGCATCTACAATTTCTATGAAGAAAATGAAAGTAAATAAGGTCATTAAGGAAGTGTAAAAATAGCTAACATTCAAACATCAAATTTTGTCAAAGTATAAAATCCTACTTCATGCATATCTACATTAAAATTATCAAAACTCGAGCTACATATATCATCTCAGAATGAATCGTATCTCATTAGAAAGCTAATTAATATACCTACAACGTTCATGAAGATCACAAACTCATTTGAGCACATTTAAGTACCATAAAAAGGTCAAACATTTATTAATACATGCTGCCAGATTTTTGAAAACTGCTTGCACACTCGTTTTATAAAAATCATAACTCACTCGATATAACTCGAATTATCAAAATTAAAAAATCCCGAGAAAGCCAACAGAAAATACTACATTTCATCAGAAGGCCTCGACAACAAATTACGGGTTTCTAATGGTCATAATTACAGCACAACATAACATTAAATCATGCATGTACCAATCGAAAAAATCCAACTTCAAACAAGGATTCGGTAATACGAACGATACTTATATATAACATGTGATATACAAGAACAACCGCAATAACGAGAGGGTTCGGAAATGTTTACCGTCTCTGGGAAAATACGAGTTCAGTTAAAGTAATCGAACGAAATGACGAGAGTTCGGCATCGGCATTTTAAATCATTTTCCTACTATTCTCCACGGGAATTCAAACGAACAACAATTCGGCTTACGCGATTAAACCGAAAATTCAAACGACGATTTGATAAAATAAAATCGAACGAGATATATAATCACAGTATCCATATAATAATATAAAATATAATCTCAAAATTAAGATTCGATAAATAGAATAATCCGAGAAATTCTATAA